CATGCCAACATCTGCAATGTTTTTGCTGGTGTGTGTGTGTGTGTGTGAGGACAAAAGAATCAAGATGAACAGTAAGACGTATTTGGTGTTGTAGCTGTGGTTTGCACTTCAGGGTCACTGTAATTTGGGGCCAGATTGCAGTAATTCTGCATGTTAGGCCTGTAGCCAAACATTAAGGGTTATTTCAGCCATGCGGAAAGGTTATGAAAAATGTATATTAATGCCAAAGTCAAAGTTTCTTTATTTGTCAAATGCACCACATATGGTGGAACGAAATTGTGTACACAGGGTCCCAGTTACATCCAACAAAAGTATAAAATGTAAAAGAAAAACAGTAATAAGGTCCAAGACACAAACCAAGAAAAACATCAAACCACAAATACTCCAAGCACTAGTAGTACAAAAACAATACGCCGAACAGCAGCACGAACATGAGTCTGCGCGAGCAGACGAGCAAGAATGAACACAGCAGCCCGAATAAAAAATTTAAAAAAGTATACCTTCCCGCTGTAGACAACTCTTTTGACAACTTCATTTTGGAACAATAGTTGGATTCTGGACAGATTTATGAGCTAATGGTTGGTCTGAACGCAACCAAGATTTGTTAACCTACTCTAACAGAAAGTGCCAGAATCAGAATAAGCTTTATTATCATTGTACTGAGATACAACAAGAATATGTCTGTACAGTCGTCCGAAAGATGGGCGGAGTGCACGTAGCTGCTGCTATTTAGCACGGCCTTCTACCCCCCCAGCCCACCCCAGCCCTTTAAACACCAGGCACAGCATGTAATTTATGGGTCAGTTTTACAGTTAATAACAAAAGCTCAAACACAAATGTTGAGCCAAAGCTTTAGAGGAAAATGGAGGAGGACAACACAGAAGGCAGACCTAGAGAAAGTCCTCACCGTTTTGTCCCAAGTCTACCCAGCAGACTTTGCGGCTCATCCAGTCTCTCCGAGATGTTACAGTGTCATGATATTTCTGTTATAAAGTCTCCAAGCTGCACCAGGACTATCCAAAAGAAACCTGGATCAGACCCTAGTGACTTTAATAACCTTTGACCCACATCCAATCTCCCATTTCTTTCAGAAATTCTAGAAAAAAAAAATTGCTTCCCAGTTGCCCACCTCTTCGACAATAATCTATATGGACAATTCCAATCTGGCTTCTGCTCACTTTACAGCACCGAAACAGCTCTAACCAAAATCAATAATGAGCCCCTCATAGCTGCTGACTCTGGACTTCTCTCCATCCTTAGCCTCCTCGATTTAAGTGCTGCCTTTGACACCATCGCACACACCATCCTCATTCACATTCTTTCACATATTGGTATTTCAGACACACCCCTTTACTGATTTATTTCAAACTGTTCTAACCTCACACAGTTTGTTCAATTAAAGTCACGTACTTCTCATCCATCCGCTCTCTGTTCTGGTGTTCCACAAGGTTCTGTTCTCGGCCCTCTCCTTTTTATCATTTACATTTTCCAGATAGCTTTCGAAAACATAATGTCCAATTCCACTGATAAGCAGATGAGACCCAGCTCTATCTGTCCACCACCTCCACCTCCTCCCTCCCACCCACACCACTCTTTGACTGCCTTTATTATATCAGATCCTGGTTTATCAGCAACTTCCTCAAATTAAACAAGGACAAAACTGAACTTATTCTCATTGGCACTAAAATCAACCTTTGCAAAATCCAGCAACGTTTCCATTCCCATCAACAGCACCTGTTCTCCCCTCCCCCTAATTTGAGTCTGACTGTCATCCTACAAATGTTATTTAAATCCCATATCTGTGACATCATTCGTTTAGCCTGCTTTCACCTCCATGGCATCACTTGTCTCCATCCATCCCTCTCACCCAACAGTATTGCCATTCTGGTTCATTATTTGATCACATCACATCTAGATTACTCTAACTCCCTTCTTTTTGGTCCTTCTACAAAATCCATCCATAAACTCCAACTGGTCCAAAACTTTGCTGCTCGCATCATTTCCAAAACCCCTTCCACTACTCAAATAACCCCTGTACTGCAGTGTTGTCACTGGCTCCCCATTAAGTTTTGCATTTCTTACAAAATCCTGCTCCTCACCTTCACAGCCCTCCATAACCGTGTCCGTCAGTATCTCACAGAACTTTAACACACACACACGCACTAACTCACCCAGCCGCCTGGTCGTCTGATCACCGTGGGTTCAGGAGCATTGAGTCTCTCAGCACCCCTCCTCTGGAACTCTCTCCTCATGGACATCACCAACTTTACCACAATATCCATTTTCAAATCCCGAATCAAAACTCTCTTCTTTGAACAGGCTTACTCACTTTCACCTCGTTGTCACATTAAACTACAGTATATTTATGTTATGCATGATGTTTATGTTGTTATTTTTCATTTGTTGTTTTATTCTTTTGTTTTTATTGCATTTTTTATTGTATGTCATTATGGTTTGAGTGCCATTAAAGACACCTTCAAATAAAATGTGTTATTATTATTATTATTGCTAGCTGCTGCTAGATTTGCTTACAAAAAACACCTGATTCTTTTTAAATAAACTGTACAATAATTAAAATTGAGAGCAATATAGAGGTTTATTTGAAAACGAGATTCACATTAACCACTATAAAATTATGAAGATTGGAGCTGTTTTAGGACAGAAGCAATCCCTTTTGCTCCTATTCACAATTCAGACTAGCCATTTGGCTCTTCAGTCCTGTCAGAGGTTCTGCTTTTCAATCTGAGGTCTATCTACAACAAGATAGATGTTGATTGTTCACATATTTTCAGAGAGCCTCAGTTTGTTAAAGATCAATGAGTGGGTTTTCTGTTCTTTGTTCACTTCTGCAGAAATATATTTGCAATTTCCTCATGAAATGTGTAAGTCAGTATTTTACACGTTACCTCACAAGATCTTTAATTTCTTTTAGTTGCTGTGCAACAATACTTTGTTTATCCAACATTTTTCAGTCAGGTCATCTGGACAGTTTCATTTTTTGTGCTGAAACGTTTCGCCTTCGATCCGGAAGGCTTCATCAGTCAAGGAAACACACAACACAAAACTGATTCTTCCCCCAACAGCTTACTCCAAAGTGGAACAAACCAGTTATGTTGGTGCTAAGA